GAAGTACAAAAAGATACTAAAAATAAAAAAGAAAGGGCACAAGTGGTGCTACCGTATAAAGAGACTTAATAAACGTTGTTTTAAAAGAATAATATAATAATAAAATATAATTGTTATTAAGTCTGAAGAAACATATAAAAAGAATTATTCAAGGCGTATTGATGCTTTTATAGCTCAAACGCTCTTAGCTCTGAATAATCCATCATGATCTGATGGTTAAGTCCAAGGTCGATGGTCAGATGACGCTGATGTCAGGTCTCTTGTTCTCCGCCCTGCGCAACAAGTGTTTATTGTTTATTTACAATATAAAATATAGTATTGTAATATATGTACGTAAAGGAAGTAAAGAGTCAACAGGAGCACTGTGTGCAACTGGTGATAAAAATATAGGGAAATAATAAACTGTTTAATATTATAGACAATAAATGTTATTGTTATTATTTATAATAAACAAGAATAATCCAAATAATATTAAAGTTAAAAGAAAAGAAAAAAAGAAAGAAACAAGTAAAATAGCGGATAAGAGAAATAATCAAGTATTTATACTTGTGTTATAATTAACTATTGATAAATAGTTATCAGAAACTTTAATCAGTGTAACAGTTTAATCAGATTATGTCAAAATAATTAACGACTTGTAATAGACAACTATTTGTTATATACAAAATATGAAAAAGACACATGTTGATGTACAATGTTACACACCAATAATAGAAGTCATATATAAAGGAACCCTTCCCCCGCCTCCAGGCTAGATTTTGAGTTGACTTATTTAGTCTTCTTGATTGTGTAGTATTTCCCTTGAATATATTTATTCATACGACACATTTATTTAATTAAGTATTAAATAAAACAAATTTGCTAAATAAAGTTCAACAATTTACTAGTTGTTTAATGTTTTGCAATTTTATTTAAATATTCTTAGCACAATGTGCCAGACCTAGATTTGTGGTTAGGTCAGAATTTGAATCAACTTTATTAAATCCTTTCTTGTAACAACTATACCAATAGAAAGGTTGAGAAAGATTGTTAACTGCTACTCATCTCCATAAGAAACATATGAGTTAATAGCAAAAGACAGTTATGTTTAGGTGCTCCACTTTTTGACTTACAAGAGCATGTCAAACTATATTCCATATTATTCATGAAGACAGTTCAATATAATTATTCTTGTTTTTGTCAGCAAAATAAACATATAAAAAAAATAATATTAGCAGAACACAAAGTGGGCAGGCTGGTTGAACCGGTTTTTTTTGTCACTACTGTTGGTATTCTCAAAGGGAGGATTATGCATGAAATAATTTTTTTTATATAAAATAAAAATTTTTCCTTTTACATTACAAGGTAAAATGCATTGTATCTTTAAAAGAATGCTTGCATTATTGCTATGAATCCCTTTGGTGGGGGGGTTTGGCAGCAACAGGTGAAAGGAATTGTTTGAAGAACCCTAACATGGGATCAAACATTTTATTGGCAGTTTAAACAGCTGGATATAAAACTACTATCATCTTTACATTCAAAACATCTGCCTACTGGGTCATTAAGACATGTTTCAACTATATTTTTCAACTAGCAAAAGCTAGTTGACTAGTTTTTATTGAAAAAGGAATACTTGAAAAAAAAGACTTACCCTTACCTTTGGCAAACACTGGATTTTTCTATGGAGAAGCTTTGTGTGCTTGTTTCTCTGGAAAAGAAATTTTAAAGGCCTGGGTTTTCTTTCAATAATTCTTTTTCGGGGGCTTTTTGCAAGTAAGAATAATTGGGCCTTTGAAACAGCAAAATAGAGGCAGCACCTCACTTCCCCCAATTCATCTATCCTCCCACCTATTTTTTTACTGCGGGTTTTGGGTCTCTCTTTGTTTTATTTTATTTCTTTGTTTTCTTCGTTTAGCTTCACACTATTTAGCTTCCTTAGTTTTCTTTGTCTTATAATACTTCTTTTATTTTAGCAAAGCTGATTCATTTCTCCTCTTTCTAGAATTTACTGCGCCCGAAATGGAAGTTTTTTGTTGGGGGTACATTGTAAATTTTCATTTTGCATTTTACATTAGTTGCAAAAAAAAAAAAAAAATTTTAAAAAAAACTAATCATAGGCTGTATTGTTGCGTGTGGCCCGAACGTGGAGCGTTGGGCATATAAAATGAAGAGAGAAAAGGGGGCGTACAATCGCAAGGGAAACTGGGAGGATTGTAAAATTAAAGTGTTTATTTGAAAACTGAGGTTTCAACGTCTTGGTAGGCGCTGAAACCTGCTTTAAATAGAAAATGATATATAGAATAAAATGTGTCGTTCTCTAGTAGAACAAACCGTACAATTACTTGTAAAGGGACGTAATTGTGAACGCCCTTTTTGAAACCAAAACAATTCGCGATTGAATCTGAGAATGATGAAGCAAACCGGTTCTAATCTTGATGATCGTCGTTGCTGGTGCCATGCGTGGCCATGGCACTGGTGTCAGAGTTGGCTGACTCGAGATCATCAGACCGAGCTCCCCCCGAGCGCAACAGTATCATTCACCATTTAGTTCTATTGCAATTTTACCATATAAATACCATATTTGCAACTTTTCAACAGATGATGATTGATGATATATTACACACACAAGCACTTCAAATAATTTCTTCTAAATACTGATAATTTATCAATAAACCTACTATGCAGACAGTTAACAACTACATAAATACTACTTCAAGTGATGGTGATGGTGATGTTTCTGACCAGCATTTTTTCCCTGGATGCACCTGTGATCAGTGTAAAAAAAATAAAAAATAAAGCATTTAACAAACTGATTGATGTGTGCTGAAAAGGTCTGCATAAATAAGTAATTAAGCTGGAGGAAAGTATGCAAACTATTCACCAGACATTAATCAGACAAGTAGCATGACGAAACTGGGTATATATCTGCGTCTATCATATGCTTTCCCTTGTTTTACCAAATTCTTATGAACGTCAGACAGATGTTTTATTATAATGAAACCCGCTATATAATAAGTACGCCGATTAGCTTAGTTGTTCTTTGTTTTTGTGAAACAGCATATCTATTAATAAATAGCAATAATCGAGCAAAAAAATAAAGCAAAAAGTAACCAACCCACTGCGGGGGTTGAACCCGCGACCTTTTCTTTAGGAGAGAAACGCGCTAATCCACTGCGCCAAGTGGGCATCAAGCTTCGCTGATTAAGCCAACAAAAGCTCGTTTAGCCTGTTAAAAATTACTGGTCCAATTTCTAAAGTAGTTGTTTTTTTAAAAAAAAATTATAAATTTGTTGTTGTTGGCATTAGACGACCACGACTTTTGCTGATTGACAAGGTCTAGTTTTAAATATATATATTTGTTTAGTGTCGAGTTTTCCTGCATTATATACGCTCACAGTTTTATAATGACCCATATTTTGGATGGAAACTATAAAATCGATGTTTCATTGACCAATTAATCACTGTTTTTTTAAAAGCAATAATCGCTGTTAAACTTGTTTTTATTTCAATTTTTAATTTAACAGCTATGAGCGTACACAAAACCCACTTTCAAGCCCTTCCAGAGCATATTATAGAGTCGATTGTGTTATATGTTATTGACTGCACCACTGATGATAGTGAATTATACAAACGCGTTGGGCTTTCACTTGCACATACCTGCCATCGCTGGAGGACCATATATATTCGACATATCTGTTCCGCCATCCATTTGAACGTGTCGTTGGGAGAACTTGTGTGTGAGTTAGCCAGATTACTTAGCTGGTACAAGAACCCGACGGACTTGCCACTTGCAAACATAGCCAAGACTGTAGTTATTCATCTGGATTTTACTTATTTTTACAGTCGGCACAATATCGTAGATAAATTTTTGGAGAGTGAATTTGCTCGTTACGAATTGGCCAAGGTAAAGAATGTGGATATTTGGGTTAGTGTCGTCGATTTTTCATATGTGAATGGCAATCAGGTTTATGGTTATGACGAGTTATGTAACGCGATTAGACAGCTCGATAGGCTGTTTGTACATATTCGGAAAATGATGCCGCATGTACAGGATATGCGTATTTCATGGATAGCCGGGATAGATTCAGCCGACGGGTATAGCGTTAGCAAGCAAATTGGACAATGTATTGCTAGGGTTATCCAGGGTTTACGCATTGTAAAAATAAACGATTTTAGCAATTCAGTTGACTTTATCGCACTTGATACATTGCAGGTTTGTAATCTGACCCGATTAGAATTCAACTATCGTCCGGAACATCAGTGGGGATTGGAACTTGTTTGGCGCAACTCAGAGACACTTTACTTTCTAGGAATTGATATGTTACCTGGCTCACTCGCCGATTCGCTTTTGTTTAATGACCGAGGACAGCCAGTCGTTTATCCTTGTTTGGAAACTCTGGATATATTTTTCATGTCAGAACAAGCCGTAGATACCAGACAAAATAACAAATTGGTGCATTTTCCAGAGCTTCGAAAATTAGCATTATCAGGCGAAATCGTTTGTTGCAAAGCATTTTTCAGAGACTGTGGCGATGTTCTTGAGCATATAAGTATAGAGGTCAATGATCTTGGAGGCGATGCTTTTATAAACCTAGGTGCAATTCTCATGTCTTGTTGTAATTTTAAACATCTGAGAACAGCTATTATCAACAGTGGTGTCTCGCAATCAGCAGCAATCGGTTCACAAATGCAATCTGTTCGTGGCGGCAGGTTAATAGATGCTTTGAAAACAATGACTCTGAAAACCAACTACTTGTCATACCTATCGTATTCAGCACAAACCAACGCCAACGTTATTCAAAACCTGTTAAACAGCTCCGAAGCGTTTATTTATCTGCAAAAACTGGCACTCATCACAACGTATTTTAATTTCCAGCAGCTAACTCGTCTTCTCCAAACATTGCCACAACTTCAGTTGCTAAAATGTTCTTTAAAGAACGAAATTCTCACAGTAGATTTGCTGGAACTGCCACAAATGGCTGACCACGTAGCTACGACTATTTATCCTTTGCATAGAGCACTGCTTAAGGCGGATTTGTTTGCCTGTGCTGACGATTTGTCTGAAAACATGGTTCAGATGCTTGGACTGCTGGTGATTGGTTGTCCAAGGCTTTTGGATATAACTCCGGCTCGTTTATCAAAGCTTCCGGAACTTCTCAAGATATTGTTGAAGCTATCGGAATCACAGGAATTTAGCAAGTATTCTGACCGACTGAAATGGGTGGTGGCAAAGAACAAGTTGAATAAATAAGTTTTTTTTTTCATACGGAATTTATAAAGAAAAAATGCAATCCCATATACTAGAAATGATAGCAAAAAAACATCAAATACGCTGGAGAGAAAAAAAATGTAGAGCTCACTTTACCAGGAACAACCATATATACGTCCTTTTTTTCAATCTCTTTCTTTCTTGTACTTTTGCAATGAGGAAAAGTGGACAGAAGCCAGCTCCAAAGAAGCTCGGCGGAGGAACACAGGGGTTTCAGGGATTCAAAATAACCAGTACACCTGCGGTTGCAAAGCCAAGCGCCCTGACGGATTTCGACACGGCGCCAGACGATGAAACACAAGTGGACAGTCACGGAAGAAAGCTCGGCATATCCATGTCACTTACAGGCACGCATGGCGAAGCCATCCACAGCGAACAAGAAATAAAAGATAGTCAAAAACTGGTAATTCCCGTTAAACGCAACATTGAAAGATGGAAACCCAAACACACAGAACAACAGCAACAGAAAGAAGAAAAAGACAAGAAGGGGGAATCGCAGACGTTGCGCGAACAGGCTATTCGGTGTTTGATTGATGGCAACGACGACCATATGGGGGCTGATCAGACAAAAAGTGTGATTGAGGTGGTGGAGGGCGACGAAGAAGCAGAGGATGTGGACCAGGGGACGTATGAGAGGGTGCCGGTTGAGATGTTTGGTGCTGCTATGCTGCGTGGTATGGGGTGGAAGGAACAGACGGATATTAAGGACGGCGGTAAAGGCGATGGTGACATTGGTGTGACAAAACCCAGACCGAATCTACTGGGCTTGGGCGCACGTGCCAGGCCGACCGATGACGAAGATAACAACGATGGTTATAGACGCAAGATTAAAAAATTTTAAATAAACAAGTGTATATGTGATGATTGTATTCAAGAGAATGTAAATAAGTTAGGGGTATAAAAAGGTAGAGTACGATAACATTATTAATGCAGGTTGACATCGGCGTACTTTAGCATTCTGGTGGACAGGATGATCAGAGCAATAAGCGACTCTGTGACTTTTGTATGGAACGTGACAGTGCCCTTGAGTTTAAAGTCCCTAGACATGCCAATGTAGTTGGCCACAGTCTGCCCCTTGTCGTCCTCCAGCTTCCAGCAGTTCTGCATGATGCCGGCCATCCAGTCGTAGCGCCGACCTTCAAAGTCGATAAACGCCCACGTCAGCTTTGTGCCGTCAAAGCCGCCGCTAGATATCTTGCCCTGGTAGTTGAACTGCGCCAGGTCTTTTCTGTGACCTTCCATTCTTGCAGTCATGATGGCCGGACCGTTACGACCCTGACACAGAGTCGACTCTCGCTCGCTGACCTGCATGGTCCATACGGGTTCCAGATCATCGGCCTGTACTCCGCTCTCGAGCATGCCGGGATAAATAAATGTGCGCTTGCTAAAGATGAACGACTCTTTGACATATGTGAACGAGATAGGCATTTTCGTGTATTGCTTTTTTTTTGTGTGTGGATCGGTGAAGGATAGTAGGTGTGTAGAGAAACGTATACAGGCGGTGTTTTTTTTATTTATTTTGGAGACTGGTTGTGTAAATAGCGATGGTAATAATAAATAAAGAGGAAATACACTAGAAGATATAAAGAAGCTAGACCGGAGACAGAAATGGAAAAAAGTGACAGCCAGAACCAGCAGTCAGTGTTTATATAAGAGTGTAGATTCCCAATCGCAGCTCAGACAGAAAATGACACAAACACACGGGAAAGGGGGAGGGAAGAAAAGGAACAGGCGGAAGAGAAGCGAGAGCACCGTCGGAAAGAAAAGAACACGCTACTGCCAGAAAAAGGGTCCACTTCCTGATTGCACCACCCCGGAAAAGGCCCAAAAAACAAGTGAAAAGGATAAGGGGGGGGGGTGTGAAAACCCCAGCAATCCCTTTATTTTTTACTTTTAGAAACAAAATGAAACCCCTCTTCCTAGTGCATGCACCGTCCATTTATTTCTGAAAAATAAAAAACTACATCTTGTGCAATATACATGATAATTAGCAATGTCCGGGGGGTTTCTCAACGCTTCACAAAGCAGCAGCAAAAGCAGATTGTTATTTTGTTGTTGTTTGCGCAAAAAATAGATAAAAGAGTGGGGACAACAGTGCTTTTTTTGCGTTTGAACAATTATTAGCAGCGTCGATCTTTTTCTAATAAGCAAAAAGGAATAATCCCCCACCATCTATACGCCTTTATTATGCAGCGTTTTTTTACAAACGCTTCTTTCAGGCTTGCCGAGGAGCGCGCATATATCCTTTATGGCTGCCGCAGAGGCCTGTACATGTGCTGGCTTTGAGTCAGACTGCTTAGACTCTTGCCCTTTTTAATGATTTCACATTTGTTATCCACAGCGCATTTCCATTGCAAAGTTTGCAAAGAGCATAAAGAAAAAATGAAACGTAAACAAAAAATAGATCCATCTACATGTTCTTTATGGGCTCTCTTTCACTGGTTCGATAGGCAAGCTTCGTTATCCCCACGTTGTATTTGAATGTGTGTTTATTTTGCTTTTGCTCGCTATTGTTCTCTTTCAAATACACGCGTTTTTGTTGTATTTGCAATCAGACAAACAAAAAATACAAATGGTTGCAGATCTATCCACATATTATTTCAATCGACAAATGGACAAGAGAGAATAAAATAATGGATTGCAAATCTCGCGCACCTGTTAATTATCTGTTTGGAAAGACAGATCCGCTTGAGATGAATTGCCGAGAAACAACTGTATTCAAAGTACAAAAAAAGATATGTCCTAAAAAAACCCATCTGCCCACATATCGACGTTGCTGATCATCTCTCACTCTGAACGCTACATGTGCAATCTGTGTGTATGCGTGTGTCAAGTCTGATCCCCCCTTTGGTCTTTATTTTTTCTCTCTTACTTTTAAACGGAGTTGCAATTTTTTTTTGATGAGAAATTAAAGAGA